AACACATGCACTTTGTTGGTACATCCACTCCATTGAGAAAACAGTTAGTGGCACCACATCATGCGACCAGCCATGAGCCGCATGCGTGAACAACGTCTTCTTCATCGCGTTCAGCTCCAAGTATGGACACATGCCAACTTGGGGAAATGAAATGCAGAAGGTCAAATACCTGCTTGAAGCAACAGTCACTGGCTTGGGATTCTTGTGGAAAAGCTTGCAATCATTCCTTCACAAGACAGACATCATATCTGTTTTGACAGAAGTTGGATGTGCGGCCTTCAACAACAAAACAAATGTGAAATACGCGGGATTCAAAGCTTGGCAGTGCTTCCACCCAAAAAGATGGCCCCACACGCTCAAAGCCGTCATGGCGGAGTGTTCTTTGTGGTTCCAAGGGGCACCTGTCTCGACATTCTATCAACCCACCTTTGCACCCACCATTGCCCCCCTCTACTCTATCTTGCCCAATGGTCTTACATTTAAGAGTCCCTTAGCTATTCTCTTCAAAGACGGGCCATCTCTGGCTACCCTTCCCTCCTTGGTGCACGGAGTAGCGCATCAGTGACCCCTGGCTCTCCTTCGGTCGTGAGAGGGTCGTGGGAGCAAATCCCAACTGAAAGAAGAGTCCTCCATCTGGTGAGTTATATGGGTGGGTCATGGCACCGGGGTACCTGGATCGACCAGTTGACCAATGAAGAAAATGGACGACCTGCAGGACTTCAATCGGGCTACCTGGTTTGGGGATCCGGGTTGAATTCAATCAGTGACTCTATGGCAAAATACAGTTTCACCTTTCAGCTGCCTTAAGGGCACGTGCGAACCTCAGACGCATTTCATGCAGGTGACATATCAGAAAAACTATTGCTTTACGGGGTGTCCTTAATCTATTTGCTGTGACCTGCAGGTAGGACTTCTTTCACCTGCACATAGAGTGTGTCCTCTAAAAAAATTATCTGGCAAAAGGACTGATAAGGAATAGCAAGAGAACATACTAAAGAGAATTGCCCTGCCATGCTGGTCCATTGGGCGGTGATGAGACGTATCAAATCAACAGTAGTCACATGGTTCATCATATTCAGATTTGATCAAACCAACTACGCCGAACATAAAGAATAAACACTGCAAAACGCAGTTATAAGAGTAGCCACGGGTTATTCTTCGTGGTTGTAGGCGGATCCTTACTGAGTGAACCGGGTTGTTGCCCTACAGAACGACCCACCGATTGCGCAACTTTCCGTGTTTAAGCATTCTTGTTTCTGGAGTGGTAGAGGTGAAACCCCAGACCGTCTGACCAAGCAAACTGGAGGAGCGTTGATTGCTTGATTCCCGTTTCTTGGGCCCGTCTCTCTAAAACGCTTTCTCGGGTCTCCTGCGTCAACGTCTGACACATCGCGCAACGCATCCATCCTTGATTCAAGGGACTGGACATACAATGTGCTCGGAAAGCCGGTCGACAAATATCTAGAATATCTATACAGAGTATTACAGAATAGTCTAGAGCCTGAGAAGGGGGGACGAAAGCCAGCTGCTGCTAGACGAGTTTTTCTTTTTCTTGCTAGGGCGCAGGAGCCCTATGCGGATATGTAGTCAACCTTGCATCCCCACCGAAACTCAATCCAAATTCGTCGACTTGAACTCGTGCTACTTTAGGGAACTCGTATCCTACGTGCGGCTGCGGTCTGCTCTGTACGTGGGCCCCTGTCTCCATTCGAGTCCTCTATGCCCATTGCCTAAACAGCCTCCAAAGCCCTTCATGATGCTAATGATGCGCTGCTCAGTGTCCATTACATCACTCGCATCCAGACCCTATTTTCACTGCTTTTCGGGGCGGAGGTGGGCGGCGGGCGGACTCAAGTCGCTGACATCAAATCCAGGGAGCCTCGCCTGACAGGTCGGGAAAAAGGCTCTGGTTGGGTCGTGAAAAGGGTTGTCAGCCTGTTCAATCTCTCCCAACTCCTTGGTATCACGTTCTTCATAGGTCTTCAACGAATGTTAGCTTCTCGATCTTTGCCCCATCTTGACTTAACAAGCCAGGCACGGAGGTGCAGCTTCTGCCTGGAAAGGATGGAGCCGAGGATGGGGTCTTGACCTTCAGAGACGAAAATGGAAGTGGTTTTTCCTGGCCCCTGAAAAGATGGTAGTAGTCTCCAGTTCCAGTCGAGAGAGTGTGAAATTGGACCAGTGGTTAGTTCTACCATGTTCTACCGAGTTCTATCTGACAATCGTCAATTTTTGACTACTCTCACTCTTGCTTTGACTTCTTTCCCAAAGCTGCCAACCGGAGCAAAGCCTATTCTCGGCTTCTAGTTGCTGTTCTGAGATTCTACGCAAATCAAAAGGCTGGCTCCAAGGGCAGCAGGCCAGTTTCAACCACAAAGTCTACAGTAAGATATTTATATCCAAGCAGGTCCTGCGCCCACCACCCAGAAACACACCGCCTTGACCGTGCGAGATGAAGGCCTCCAGTATGTCGGTGACAAAGCTGTGAGAGATGCATTGCTTTCGGTGTGTCCCGAAATCTCGTCTCACGTTTAGCCACGTCAGCCTACACATAAGTGATGGACAAAATCGGCGACCCTTCGGGACCTCTTGGGGACGGGGGAGAGGTCCGCCTCCGGACGTTCCCCTTCACGTTAGCTCCTGGGGCACTGGCCTGTGCACCGCAACGGCTTGGAGAGCCGATACCTGAAAAAATGAAAAAAGTTTGTTCTTTGCGTTTGCACTGGTGGCAAATGGCGCCTAATTACCACCAGTCGGGCAGATCGACCTCTTCTTTGTGCACCAGTTGTGTTCCAATATGTCCCTGGTGTCTTCTGCTGTTGAGCGCACAATGCTGCAAGTTCTACAGTACCAGTAGCACTGTTGCTACTTTAGCGACAAGTCAAGCGAGCGTTAAATCACTGCATACCCAGTTGGATGGACACATGCGTGCACCTGGTGCTCCTTTTGTTCCAGTCTCTTAACCAGAACTATATATACAGTAACTATAACCACACATACATCATCATATATCACTCCTCCAAATATATTCATGCTGGCGTCTCTTATTCGAGCTCAGCGGAATTGGAAAAAATGTATATATCCCTGTCCTTGATATGTGTGCTTATCCACGAAACCCTTTCCACGCGCTCTGGGTTGCCACGCCCATCGTTTGGGTGCCTTTGACCTAAATGGGATGTGGTGGTGCAACTCTGTGCATTTAGTATATTTAGTGCGGAAAACTGATTTGCAAATACTCATCCACATTTATATAAAAAGAGCGATTGAAAGATTTGATCCCCAATGTGATTTGCAACGTCCCCGTTCGAGACTCCAGGCGGATGTCCAAAGCTGGGGAACGTCCCAAAGAGCTCATCCATGGGATAGAGCTCTCGCATTGGATCCGGCCCCACCTGCGAATTTGCTCCATGCAATCTGACTTCTCCGACGCTGCTTTCGTTCTCTGCTTACCCAACCTCGTAGCAAATACACGGGCATGGGAGACCATGGCCTTCCCTCCGTCGACTCTCCTGTCAACTTGATTTGCTCTTTTTTCCCATCAGGACCCATGGACAACTCACACAGATCATTCCAGTGCTCGTTGCGTCCTTCTGGTTGGAGATCAAAAGCAAGCGGCTGAGCTCTGTTGGCATGGATGAGAGCGTTTTGTAGTCCCCCTGGCCAGCTGGAGGGCAAGACGATCAGTATGTTGCTTGATCTTCAGAGGACATGTCGCAAATCCATGACATGAGACTACTCCCAGCATCATTCTGCTCTGACCACACTGGTACGTGCATGCAAACAAAACACGCATTTCATCTGACAAGTTCGGCATGCACTTCAGGGCAGGTTCGGCACCTGTTCAAAGACAGTGCCGTTGCGCAGAACAATGATGCTGTCGAGCCTCGTGAGGCCCCGAGCTCCCGAGCCGCACTCCGCACATGGGCTAATACCACTGGCCTATACCCATTAGCGTCACGTCTGAAGGCCGACAGTATGAGGGGCAAATGGTGTCGCGTTTTCCTGCAAGCCCCCCTAGGCCACCCAAGCGGGGAGAGCAAGGACAAGTTCTGAGTGGCCAAGATCATGGTGCGATCCTTGTACTTCTTCACCTTAGATGGTTGCACTTAGCATTAGCCCTGAGGATGCAAATTTCCCAGCCTCCTTGCAGCAAAGGCACCCCAAGAAATTGAACAAAGCTTCGCACCCCGATTATCGATTCAATGCCACAGTGGAAGAGGTCACAGGCCACTTTACAGTTTTGTATTCCGAGGCTATCGTAGCAGAAGGGAACAACAAATGACAAAAGTTGATGTGCTGAAACATGTCAAATGCAAGAGACAGCGTGACTTGGAAAAAGAAATCCAACAGAATCCTGGGGTTCTCGCTAGACTGGAAACAGCACGTTTCCCTCGGTCATGGTCCATCTCGACAAAGGGATCATCCAAAAGGAGTATCTGCGCCTTCGCAAAGGGGCACGATTGGAATCGCCTTTGCTCCAACGCTTCTTTCAACGACCAGCGCGACGACTCGCGTGACGAGTCGTGTGACGAGTCGCGTGACGAGAGCGGCGTGACTCGTCCTACGCGACTCGGCCAAATGGCACCGATTCCCTCGGCCTCAGCAAATAAGGCTCTTGCCACCTGCATGGCTGCCAGACCCGGGCCTCGTGGTTTTCGCCGCTGGCACGTTGGCTGCAAAAATGTGCGAGTCGTGAAGTGTTTTTATAAGTGTATAAGTACTTGTATCGTCCGGCACGTCGATCAAGCTTTAGAGAGGCTTCTGATATTTGAACACGTATTTTTTCCTTGCTCCGCAAACATGGCAAGATCTGTAAATTATTGCTGCCTTGACAGTCTTGTCATGGGCCATGAAATAGTACAGCGATTCCTTGAGGGGGAGTTCTGGTGTTATGCTCTAAAGATATTGAGATTGATTTACACTATTACCCATTGCTTGTTGAGGCGCAACACGTTTGAATGTGCCAAGATGTTCCAAAAATGGTAACACAGGAACTGTACGACGTATCAACTTGCGTCCCACTCAAGGTGCACATCGCATTACGAGCTCGCATCCAGTTAGAACCAAAAGCACGCAAAAGGGAAGCTCACTGAAAAATGCCTGGAAAAGCAGCTTGCAATGGTATCAAGGCTGACTTGGGACAGGCTTCGGAAAACTTCCGCATGGTGCAGCTTTGCTGTTGGTGACCCACTGTGACACTCTTCTCACCAGTGATGCGAGCTTAATGATCTTGTAACCGCTTCACACCCCTTCCCAACAAAATGGTGTCCTATCAAGTTCTTTCTTCCTGCATCTAACTTGTTCGGCAACTATGGGCAAAATGGCAAGCAAATACACTTGTCACATATCAGAATGAGAGAGCTCTGTGGTTGCCTCCATTGGCCTCCACGTCATTGTCTCCCAAACTCTACATGTCCTCCACTTAGATAGGCGCCGTTCAGTCTGGCCGTGATGCTTTTCACCCGAACACGGCGTACTCTATGTCCTCCACGTCACAATATCACAGCAAAGGTCGACCTCAGGGCACTGCCTGCGAGTTCCTCCACGAGAGCACTGTCGCCGTTGGAGAGACGCTGCAAATCCTCCGTTCGAGGCTTGGCTAAAGTTGGGAAAGTCTACTACGCAAAGAAATTTAGGTAGTATTCATGCAGTCTTACGCAGTGTTACAAAGAAATCAAAGAAATTCACGTCCATATTATATAATCTACGCTGTCACTGCAAGCTGCAGGAAATTGAGCCTGATCATCACATACTGGCCATCACCAAGCAAACTGCCCCCTCCAATGCAGCTGTCAACTAGACAAATTGGCAGTGCTTCCATGACCAAGTCTGGGTGCCCTTGCAGAACTGAATGCGAGTCTTTCACTAGACTCGAGAAAAGTCGGCCAAACCATCACGTTTCAGGTTGTGCAATCCTCTGCTAGGGTGGACGTTGTCAAGGCTTGCTCGTACCTGCGGGGGCGTTGTCAACGTTGCGTGTCGTCATGCCATCATATGAGTTGAGGACAGACTCAGGTCCAGGTGTCCAAAAGATACCTGCTACACTGTGGGGGGGGGAGTCTCAGACCCGTGACTTCTGTCTGTTTCGGGTGACGGAAGCTGTCGGCGCAAATCTCAGTTAGAATGCAAAGTGACCGACTAACTACAACCTTTGCTTCCAACCATCCCAAAACGCGTGATACAGAATGAGAGCTGTTGAGATAATCCTCTCCTTGAAAGACTTTGCATTATATATAAGGTTCAGCAATCCCTTGCTACAAGCTGAGGTCAGTAGATGATTCAGAGACTGGCTGTGGGTCATGGAAAACAGACTGGTTCTCTAGTTGAATTCCCACAGTTGAAATCCCGTGTTCCGTCAACTGCCGTTACGTCCCACCAGCAGATCACTACACTACAGCAGCCTTATTTTTGCGGTTGCAGGGCCTCTGGGCATCGAAGGAGCGGCCACACAGGACGTTCTCCCGGATGCTGCAGTCGGCCAGCTTCACACAGGGCCGCTGTGGAGCGTAGGCCAATCTGCGGAGAAGTATGAAGACTTGGAATGAACTGTGCACTTCCGTTTGTTTGAATTGTGACTGCAAAGGATCTACAGCCAAGATCAGCGAAGTAGGAAGAGTCCACGACCATGCTACTCTGACAGATGAGGATTTGCGTGACTTTCTAAAGTGGGTCTATTTCTCCGGTCATCCGGCCCAAAGGCGAAAACACGGAGAGATTATCTTTTGCATTTTTGGAACCACCCTCGAAGCATGAAGCATGAAGAACCATGCGTCCCGCTACCAGGCTACCAAATGTTGGACAGGTCCGGGTTCTTTGCTTTTCTCCCAACAGTGTGGACGACGACGACGACGACGACCACCACCACCACGACCACGACCACGACCACGACCACGACCACGACCACGACCACGACCACCACCACCACCACCACCACGACTACTACTACTACTACTACTACTACGACTACGACTACGACTACGACTACGACTACTACTACTACTACTACTACTACTACCAGTACCAGTACCAGTACCAGTACTACCACTACCACCACGATTACTACTACTCCTCCTCCTCCTCCTCCTCCTCCTGCTGCTGCTGCTGCTACGACTACCACTACCAATACCACTACCACTATCACTACTGCTACTACTGCTACTACTACTACTACTACTACGACTACGAGAACCACCACCACCACCACCATCACCACCACGACTACGACTACTTGTTGTAGTAGTAGTAGTACTACTGCTCCTCCTCCTCCTCCTCCTCGTTCTCCTCCTCGTTCTCCTCCTCATTCTCCTCCTGCTGCTGCTGCTGCTGGTCCTGCTCCTGCTCCTGCTCCTGCTCCTGCTACTGATACTGCTACTACTTCTACTACCACCACCACCACTACTACTACTCCTGCTACTACTATTGCTGCTGCTGCTGCTGCTCCTACTACTACTACCATCACCGCCACCACCGCCACCATGACAACGACAACGACTGACACTGCCACTGCCACTACGACTACCACTACGACTGGACAACCAAGTCATCTTCTTACTCATCATCGTGATCTTCTGAACACTGTTTGGGGTCTCTTGCCGGGATAATCTTTGGGCCTTCAGCTTCTACCCACCGATCCGCCTTCCGGAGAGTGACACGCCACCCTCCCGGTCGTCACCCCAGTGCTCACATCGGCAGCCTTGACAGGCGATCGGATTAGCCCATCATGACATATCGAAGCAATGCACTTCTTCGGGTTGCACCATCTTGACATATCTAAAGTCCACTTCTTTGGGTTGCCACATGGAACATCTGCATGCAATGGGTGTTGGACATGCTCGGAGTGTGCCCGAATGGAGATTCACTGTCGGAGACTTGTGATTCTGCTGTAGGGTGTGTGGAAAGGGAGCTTCAACATTTGGAAACTCTTTGATGTGGTCTAACTTCAAGTCGCTGGAACATTTGTTTTCTGAATCAGAGTTATACCAGCTGCTTTGACCCTGGCAGTGGGGTGTTCCTCATCTTCAAAATTTGCTGGAGCCTCCAACCAAGCCAGCTAAAAGGGTGGACCTGAGGACAATGAAATTCTCACTTTGGAACAACTGGACATCCATTCAAAACATCCATTGAAAAGTGTGTCAAGGTTGCAATGTCAACATCCTCAAAATAAGCTCTTTTGCTTGAAAAAAGCACAGTTGTCGAGCACTCTCACTTCACTCAAAATGTTTCAAGCTTCCAGCTTGCCACTACCAGTAGCTCCAACAAGTGCTACATGGGAACCTGGCGTCTTCTGCTTGGTGAAATCGCAAACTCGATTCTGTGCTTCTTCAAATGACACCCAATCCAATCATCAATTTGCATGTTGGAAAAGAATGGACTCTTCAATATACTTGGACACCATTCCACCATGCAGTCAGCACAGAATCTGCGATATGTGTATATCATATGTTTAAAGCACCGATAATTTACAGTCCATATAGTTGTGTCTCGGCGTATCGCAAGGGCTTTTGAACATCAAACCTCCGGACAACTGTTGCTTCTATGTCTTCTTGAGACAGCCGGTAACTTGTACAACCAGGATCAACCAGGGTCCAAAGCTCGACCGCATTCTACGAACCATTCCGCTTGGCCCCTTTGTAGGGCAGAACTCTTCCTCCGCAGGGCCAAGGCGGCACGGTCCGTGGCCCATCGCTCGAAACGCCCCTCACCTCGCTTCACCTGCAGCGAGAGCACCTGGACACCGCGGCACGGCGGCAGAGCCAGTTCTGCGTCTTGGGGAGGTTCCAAAGTGAGAGAAGCCATCCTGATGTGGCTCCTTGTTCATCACAACTTGGTCCAAAAACAAAACACCTATTTGACTTGTTGTGGGATCAGAAGCGACTTTAGACTGTGTGTGCAGGAAAAAATACACTGAGTGAGCATGTGTGCACTAAAAAACACGATGCCAGCATACAAGAGGTCCTCCTTCGAGACCCTCTAAAGGAGACAGTTGACCAGTCAGCAGCACTAAGTGGGGGGTGCAGAAAGCTGTGCCAAACACCGTCTCGAGGTTTGGTGTTACACTTTGGCAAAATCTAGATTGGACGCAGTCACACACTCTCATAGTCTGAACAAACACTCAAGCAGTGCTTGCCACAAGGTAACCCATGACTGTCGCAGATCGAATCGACCTCCCCTCGGTCCAGCCTTCAAATCGAATCGATTTGAGGTATTCCTGGACCGATCTGGACCGAAGTCTGGTGCGGCGATAGCAAGTCTGCGTGATCAAAACCCCTTACAGACTCCTACAAACACGGCAAAGTACCTTGTGACACATCACTGGGCCAGCAATCAGCATTTAATCTGCTATGGAATGCCTCTGAACACTTCTCACCGCTCCCTGACTGATCACTCCATCCGTCCACCGTCTGGGACTGCTGCGTGCTCCGCCGCGCGCGCTCCGCCACGGAGGCATCGTCCGAGACGGAGTCGACCAGGTCCAGGCCAGAGGACACGCCCTCGAACGGAGACCGGGAGAAAACCAGCGGGGCGTTCGTCTCTATTCGTAGCTATGGAAGAGAGGAGAAGGAAGGCGAAGATGGCGAAGACGCCGTGGAGCAATGTGAGGTTTCAATCCAACATCACGGTCATGAGTCATGAATAAAGTGAGGTTACAGCTGCCGCCCGGGACCCAAGAAGAGCCTCCTGGCCGCTAGTAGTTACCACGACTCTGAGGAAACAAAGTCAAATCGAGCCAAATCCATCTCATGTCCTGCCCAACCCTTCAGAGAGCAGGCTGATTGCATGTCCTGCCCACGGGTCACGGAAACCCTTCTCAGCTTTCCGCCTGCCTTCTCGGCTTTCTGCATCACGGTTTGCAGGGCAGTATTGCCTCGGTAGGACCAGCACACAAAGGTTTTTCTACAGTATAATCTGCCATGAGATGCCTGTATTACTCGTGTTCTACACCATTTTGTGGCTAAAACAAATCCCTGTAGGTTTGACCATGTTTGGTGAAAATGCAGCTGGGATATACCTGTGGTTATTAGCTAATTCATTCATTTTGGTGGCAGCTGCAGGGTTTTGTAAGGGGTAGCTCGGTGTTGTAAGGGTGCGATGTTCGTATTTTTACAGGGTTTGCAGAGCGCGATGAGGGTCCGGGTGAGTATTGCTGGCATCCGATAACATATGATGTTCTATTTTTGGGTATGAACTGCATCAATACTGTTGGTTCCTTGAAGTGTTGCTACTATTAACACGTTTTGCCAGACATTCATCGATGACGGCCGAAAAGCTGTGAAACCGAGCCGCATCAAAAACCAGGAAATGCCAAAAGGAAACAACTCCACTTCAACCACATCACATCCACATTGCCTGTGGCGTCCAAAAATTGGCCAAGTTTGCCTATCAAATTGTTCATCACTGTCCGAGTTTGCCACCGTTGGGCTTTGGCGGCAAGGCCTCAAGCTGGGCATTTTTCCGAGGATCGTTCCGTCACAAAATCGAAGAGTCTTGCTCTGGTGAGGCTCAAAGAAGACACGGGAAAGAGCAAAGTTGAGCCAAGCTTAAGGAGACCAATTCCAGCTAAATGCCTCGGTCGCCTGGTTTTAAGTCAGAAAGCGGCGGATAGTATGACACCGCATGAACCGATGGTGTGAAAGTCTGACCTGTGTAGCATTTGTGTCAAGGTGGCTACAGGGTGGTGTTAGGACATATACTGGTAGTGCCCTTTGACACAAGGAAAAGAATCGGGAGCCCGTCCGCAACAAAATTCATTATTTCTTGAGAGAAAGGAGGAATGCTCCAATGAAAAGGGTGAATTGTGAAAGAAAACCGAAGAACGGAGAGGTGCCATCAAAACAAGAAGAATGCAGTGATAAATCAAGAACTGTGAAAATATGTAAAATCATAGTTGTTCCCATGACCTAGATTAGAATGCATTTTATAATGGCATATGTGTATGTACATAATATATATATATATATACATGTAGCATGCTGATACATATACATATTGTAAATAGCGGCACCCGAAAACCTACGAAAGATCGAAGGAAGCGGAATGCGCACACTATTTGCTACCGTTGGAGCCAAATGCTCAAGGCCTGTCCGGCCGCAGTGAAACACATCCAAAGGCCAAACATGCTCATTCACATGCCTTCTATTTTATGTGGCCTTTGGATCCGCACAAGTGAAAAAGGATACCAGTCTGTGGCATCGATCTTCCATCTTCGCCTGGAGGTTTGCCATCTTCTTCAGGTCGGCTTTCTCCTCAAGGATCCTCCACTCGTGCTGGCCATCACTCCTCTTGTAGCAGGCAACCGAAGTGCGGTACTGATGCTTGTTCACATCAAACCGGGGAGCTGGGCTTCGGTAACTCATCGCTCCATGGGCCACGTGGATGGGAGTTCCATCTTTGTAGCGCCACCCATTCTGCTCTGCCACCATGAGGACGTGCTCCATCAAGGACTTGTCTCTGTCCTGAACTGCCCGTCCGGGCATCTCCACAACAGCCACCGCTGTCTTCACAGCCTTCTTGGTCTGTTTGGTGAAACTCTCGTTGTACTCGATTGACCACTCTCCCTTCTGCAAAGTCTCTCGCAGCGCTGAGTTGTCCATCAGCTTCGTGCCAGCATCCACAAAGAGGTTTGCGGTGCTTGTCCACCTGTAGCCAGTACATGGCCGTCGAAGTTGTTGACGAAGAGCTGCAAGGCTAAAAGCAAGGCTTTTCTGCGAGCCAAACCCAGTGTCTTGTGTAAGACGATCATAGGTATCTTTTGCATCGGTGACTCCGATGAGGCTCACAGCGCAGACATTGAGATGTCCTGATCGACATGTGATGTCGATTTTGCGCAGCTCTGCTATGAAGCCGCGACACAGTTCTCCTGCGTCTAGACCTTCTTCAGCGCCAAGCGTTTCTGCCGCGTAGGAACTGCGACACACTCTCTGAAGTCGGTGACTCCTGAAGTCGAGCAAGTTGAAGCTGCCAGGCTTTCCCAACATCATCTGCTCGTCTGCCAGCAACACTGCGTAGCAGGACTGGGAGTGCACCTTCTCGGTCGGCATGGCGTCCGTGCAACCATTGGCGGTCACATTGCCGAATGCAGCATCGGTCACAACCATGATGCCACCATGGGTGTAGCTGACCGGCTTGAACTGCAAGGTGAAGTCCTTGGTCCTCTTTGCCTCCTCGACCACCTTGTTCACCCGAAGCACTGTGCCAACAGTCGGTCGCTCTGACTGAAGACTGCTTACCGAGAAAGAGAGGTCGAATCTCAGCTGCGCCACAAGCCACTGGAAGGCACCCAAAACACCTTTGAGCTTCCTCACTTCTGCGGCATTCAGCAAGCTTGCCACATCTTTGCGCCTTTGTCGAGGCATCTGCATTCCAGTGAGGTTCTCGTGGTACCTTACCATGGTCAAAGTGACTCTTCCATCAGGTTCACGAGTGAAGGTTTTGCCACACCAGCTGAATGGCGGAGCATCCATGGATCCAAAACCGATCCTTTCTCCCAACCGGCTCAGCGAAGCTTCTGCCTCCTTGTCGCCACTCATGAGCAAGTCGTCGACATGCGCTGCCAAGATGCCTGTCAAAGCACCTGTAGTGTCGAACCTCAGCCACAATGCCAAGTCCAAGCTCGAGCGAACCCAGCCATCCTCACCAAGCTCTCGAGCCAGCCGCAAGTACCACTCTCTTGGGGCATCAGCTAGGCCAAAAATGCCTTTGAGAACTTTGGCAACGCAACCAGTCGGAATCCCAATCGTCGGACCTGTCTTGGGGTTGGTCCCACGGATGTACAGCTGTCTCTGCACGTAGGGATCTCCTTTGAGGAAAGCTGCTCTGACATCAGCGCTCAACAAACACCAGTCAGGGTTCGAGGCACAAACACGACACACCACATGCTGTGCTATTCTTGAAGCTGTTGGTGAGTCAGTTCGAAGTTCACCATTCATCCTGGCACGATGATTCGTGCATTGGCCTTCAAAGGAAGCGGGCACTCTGGAGAGCAAAGCTTGGAGTTCTTGTCCACCAAGATGAAGCGGGGGTTCATGATCCGCTCAAGCTCACCTTTCATCTCCAGCTCCTGTTCCACTGCTCTGGATTCCTCAGGGTTCAAGACAGTCACAGCCTCATTCTCCAGCCACTTGTTCCACTGGTCAGCCGCTGCAACGCGGAAGGCCTGTCTTGTGTCTTCGTCCATCTCTGACCATTTGAGTTCACGTCCGTGAGCAGCAGTAGTCAAAGCTTCCTTAGTGTCACTGTTGGAACCACTAGGCCATGTCATCTGAAGCTTCTTGACGATCTCAACCTGTCGTGCGGTCGGGCGAGACCATCTTCCATCCCAGCTGCCGTGATCATCTTCTCCATGATGGTCGTTTTCTATGTCCTCCTGGGCTTTGTTGACTGCCTCAAGAAGTGGATGTCTCCGCTCAGCTGAGAGGACATCGATCGCTTTGCCACCAAGTCGAAGCGGCTCCATGATCCTCCTCCGAACGGCCTGTCTGTCGTCCGTTGGCTCGGACAGTGCTCTTCTCACAGCACCTTGCGCTTGCTCCAGCCGCCGTCCATATTCTGCAGGCGTCTCTCCTGCAGGGACTCCAAGTTGTAGTTCAGCTGCAGCTGCACCACCATCCGCGACTGGAAGAACTTGCGCATGATGAAGTCCATCATCTGCTGCCTGTTGAGGTAGAAGAGGTGGGAGGTCATCACCAGCTGCTCCTTGGTCGGAAGTCGGATCTCCTCCAAGAAGTCCAGGTCGTTGACCGTCAGGCTCTGGTGAAGCGTCCTCACCAACCGTAGGCAGAGGTCCACCAGCCTGTTCTGTTGACTGTCTCCTTGACGCCAATCTCGAAGGAAGCGATGAAAAGCTCGAACAAGGGGCACTTTGCACCAAAGCAGGCATCATCGCTGGGTAAGGGAAAGGATAAACCACCGCAGGCGTTGGTGTCTGCTCAAGAAGCTCAGGCTGAACTTCTGGAGGCTCCTCCGGCGGCTCTGTTGGCTCATAGCTCTCCTCACCAATTCCAAGTCCTTCTTGTTGGTCATCAGGGCGTTTGTCATCCACAGCGTTGATGACATCCTCAACTATTGCATCCCAATCTGTGGCAACGAGTCTTTCCAAAGCACTTGCATGACGAAGGTGTTCCATGGCAACCTTGGTCACATTGCCACAGTAGGCAACATACCCTGCATTGGGCATCTCTTTGCCTTCCAAAGACAAAAGAACTCCAGGACCGTGCCACTTCTTCAACTCCAGCCGTCTTCTCTGCACGATCTTCATCTTCTTGCTTGTGGGCTTCTGCTCGCGGTAGAAGTAGACCACGTCTCCAACAGAAAACTGGTTCCAATCCACCTGGTTGCGAGCACGTGCAACTGAAGCGCTCATCAAAGCTCGGCTGTAGTGAAGTCGTACCATGGCCAGCTTAGCCACTTCTCTCATCGCCACCAAGCGTGAGAACGAGGGGGTCTCCAAGGCCATGCTGTGAGCAGCAAGTCGGGTTCGAAGGTCAGAAGGACCAGCTTCTCCAACAAGTCGAGGTTGTCGTCCAAGAACCATCTGACTCGGAGAGAACCCTGTGCCATCCACGTCATTGTTGACGGCCTCCAGAGCTGAAGCCAGTGCGGTCCGCATGTCATCCATGCCAGCTGCCACCGCCTCGTGGATTGTGGCCCGGAGAACTGCCTTCAGTGAGCCTCCGGCTCTTTCTGCTATGCCGTTTTGCCACGGCGCGCCCACCGGCACATGGTGCAAAACCACGTCGTGCATGTCCATGGTGTGCTGGACCACTGCCGCCGTAAACTCTCTGCCAAGATCAGTGGTGATCTGTGAGGGGATGCCGAGGGTATTGAACCAGCACTCCTGGAAGAACTTGATGACTTCCAGCCCGCTCTTCTCTTCCAGCACCTTGGCAACTTGGTATCTGGAAGCGGCATCAACGGCGTGAGCAATCCAGTAAGTCTCACCATGGCTGTCATGGACGGAGATCAGGTCGGCATAGAGGTGGTCGTTGAAGTTCCTGACCCGAGGCAAGCTGGCTGGCCTTCTGGTTCCAGGCCGCTTGGTCTCATGACAGATCTCGCACTTATGCTCCTTTGCAGCTTTGATCAACATCGGATCTGCCCCTGTGATCAGCAAAGCTCGAGCCAGGCGAAGTGGGGGTCGATGGCCTGTCACCTCATGAAGATGCTTTGCCATCTTGCGATCACCTGCTGTGGGCTTGTCATCACCAGACACCACCACATCATCCTCATCTTCCTGCTCGGCCGGGTTGTCCAGCATGAAGTGGTCCCCATTGCCATCATGGTCGTCTCCATCATGGCCATCCGGTTCATCTGAAGGTCCGGGGGGGTCCTCCATCATCTTCACCACCATCATCTCCACCGCCTGTGTTCTCGTCGTCCAACTCCTCAATGACATTGATCTCAAGCATTGACCATTCTCGCTCGATGCCTTCAAGCAA